CAGAGCAGCCTCCGCTGTGTGCCTGTGTAACTTGGACTAGTGGCCGTAAACAGGAAACTGCTTCATTGAGGTGCAGTGTATAGAACTATTGTGAGTCAGAGCCATTTGTTAACTTCCACAGGCCTTTTCCTTCGAGAAGTGATGTGGAAATCTTGGGCGAGGACCGGGAACTCTCAGATTCTTACTATGCCCATTGATACATTTCTAACAATGAATAATGATAAGAGTTATTTTGAGACTCCAAGCAAATGACCACAGCCATTTAAGGGTGAATGACCCTTTTAAAAAAAAGCTTTTCTAATAGCTGTTCTGTGTTTGTGGACATTGGCCAAGATCTAGCAATGAAAGTTTAGGTACCAATCATTGAAGACAAATGTTTTCCTTTGAAAAGTCAGATTCCCTCTCCAGTGAGGAAACAGGGGTCCTGGCTCCCGCCCGTGCTGACGGGGCGTTGGAGGCACTTCACCTCTCTCAGTCTTCACTTCTTCGTCTTTAAGTTTTGAATATAAACCCCGGAGTGTAATTCAGAAGATTGAGCCAAGCGAAGCGTGGGGGCCACCCCTGGCTCCCACCCTCCTGCTATCTCGGTCCCAATGCCTCTCTGTGATGTTTGAGTCATTTCTCTTCTCTACACTGAGGGGCGGGGGACACTCTTTGAGTGTTTGTTTCTACCCCCCTTTCAGTGCAGTGTCCTCCTCACTGTAGGCAGTTTGAAAAGTTGAGTAAAAGAATGCATGTTCAAACAATAAAAGAGAACTTATGGCCCAGCTGGTGCGACCTATGAACCAGGAGGTCACGGTTTGATTCCCGGTCTGGGCACATACCCGGATTGGGGGCTCGATCCCCAGTGGGGGGCGTGGAGGAGGCAGCCGATCAATGATTCTCTCTCATCATTGATGTTTCTATCTCCCTCTCTCCCCCTTCCTTTCTCTGAAATCAATAAAAACATATTTTGAATATTTAAATGAAAGAAAGAACTTAGGTTAGGGAGTAGTGCCATACAACCTCTAGTGTCTAGAATAAGATAGTGTTTATATTGTGAATTCAGTTGCAAAGTATTATATTTGTGAGGCTTTTAGTTAAGGAGAATCATCAAAAATGTTGGCCACTAGGAGAGACTGTTTTTTCTCATCCTTCTGAAAAAGTGTAGGTCGCTCCGTGGCCTCTGGGCGAACATCGGCTTGTCCTCTGGGGCCTCCATCCTTGGAACGCAACCCTTTTTAGTTGTTTATTTGCACAGTCCTGCCCACGTCCCCTTTAGCCCCTTTTATTACATTTGCTGTTTCCCATGTGACCGGGCTAACATTAGCCGTAACACAGTTCCGAGCGTGGCCCCTTGTCCTGCTTATCTTTCCGTTTCTCGTCTGTCTGGCGTAGCGTCTGGCGGGGAGTATGATCAGCACAGGTTTGCTGTGTGGATGGATGAATAACTGCACACAGAGCCTCCTTGCTCTCTGTCTGTCTCCCTCGTCGCTGATTTCTATCAGTGTTGGTCCTGCTTTTGTTTATTTATATTATTTAAAAATGACCTCAGGTGCAGCGTTGGATTATAGACTATGCATGACCCTCAGTTATGACATGCTTTCATCATCGGTCCTTGCATGGTCTGCTTTAATATACATGCAGGTGGATGGATTTAAAATAGTATAACAAACATTTATGAACTCGCTACCAAAACCCAAACCAGGGCCTTGATAATAACTTATGCCTAACCATATGGTTTCCCAACTCCCATCTCAGTTTCCCGTAACCTGGGGTAACCATCATCCTGAATCCTTTGTTATTTTTTCCTTTGCTTTACTTTTTATAAAGTTTTTATTACATCTCTATCTATTCCAAAAAAGTAAGTGCTCTTAACTTTATAAAAAGTATATATCATGCTTTATAAACTCATGTTATAAGGCTAACATTCACCCATATTGTCCGTGTTGTTGTGTATGTTCACTTACTCACTATTGTTCCTATACTCACTCATTGTGTGCATATACTACTGTTGATGTAGTCACATTCCTGTGGCTGGAAAATTAGGTTAGTCCCAGGATTTTGCTCTTGTGTGCAGGACTGCTATGAATATTCATGAGCATGATGCCATCAGATTTTGGGTTATGAGCTTGAGAGTAGAATTTCGGGGTCATAGGAAATGTGAATTTTTGACTTTAGGAGGTAATGCCAAAACATTTTCCAAAGTCTTTATACCAATTCATACTCCTACCACATCCTTTCCAATACTTGTTATTCTCAAACTTAAAATCTGATCCTATTGAATGGGTGGAAAACAGAATAGCGCTGTGGTCTCCCTGATCACTAAAGATCGTGATTGTGAACATTTCTTCAAATGCTTATTTCATATATTTTTTAAAATTTAGCTTTATTGTTGAGAGTGTTACAGATGTCCCCTTTTATTCCCCACCGACGCCCCTCCAACCTGAACCCACTCCCTCTCCCTTCCCGCCCCCGCCCCCTTCCCAGGCCTTTACCACACTATTGTCTGTGTCCATGGCTGTGCATATGTGCATACAAGTTACCTGGCTAATCTCTCTTCAGATGTTTATTGACATGTATTTCCTCTTCTGTAAAATGCCTATTCCTACTTTTGCCCATTTTTCTGTTGAACTGTTTATACTTCTCTTATTGATTTGTAGGAGTTTGGGATATATTTCTTAAATATGTATATATTTTTAGTCCTGACCCGGGGATATGTTTATTGATTTTAGAGAGAGAGGGAGGGAGAGAGAGAGAGAAACATCGATGTGATGTTTTCTGTCATTATTTCTTCAAATAGGTTTTCAATATCTTGCTCTCTCTCTCTTCTTCTGGCACCCCTATAATTTGGATGTTGGTACGCTTGAAGTTGTCCCAGAGGCTCCTTACACTATCTTCATATTTTTGGATTCTTTTTCCTTTTTGCTTTTCCGGTTGGGTGTTTTTTGCTTCTTTGTATTTCAAATCTTTGACTTCATTCTTGTGATCCTCTAGTTTGCTGTTGGATCTCTGTATATTATTCTTTATTTCAGTGTATGCTTAATTTCTAGTTGGTCCTTTTTCATATCCTCGAGGGTCTCACTAAATTTATCGGCGTTTTCTAGAAAATTCTTGAAAAACCTTATAACCGTGGTTTTGAACTCTATATCCAGTAGTTTGTTTTCCTCCATTTCTGTCATTTGTGACCTATTTCTTTGTCTCCACATTTTGCTGCTTCCCTGTGTTGATAGAGTGGCTTTGTGTGCTAGGTATCCTATAGGGCCCAGTGGCTCAGCCTCCCCAATTACCTGAGGTGGACACTCTTGGTGCACCCTTTTGTGGGCTTTGTGCACAGTCTTGTTGTAGTTAAGTCTTGATTGTTGTAGGTATCACTGGGAGGAATTGACCTCCAGGCCAACTGGCTGTGAGAATCAGCTGTGGTTATGGTGGGAGAACTTCTGTGCTGGAGACACCCTTGCCTGAGGCTACCCAGCAGGAGCTATGGAGAGATCTGCAGATTCCTCTTCCTTGTTTGGGGTTTGGAGGTGCCCAGATGAGGCCCAGCTGTGAAGCACTGCAAGCTGCTGTGGGGCCTTGGGCCTGCTTTTGGATGTTCTGGGTCTCTCTGACCCAGCTGCAGTTAGGTAATTTTAGATTGCAAAGGGCCAGAGCATTCATGTGCAAAAGCCTCTGCTCACGGCTTGGGTAGGGCAGGGTCTCAGGGAATCAACAGGGCGGAGCAAACAGCTATGACTGATTCTCAGCCCTGTCCTAAGAGGCCCCAGGTCTCACTGTTCCACAGTAATCGCTGCAAACACCTCTGAGAGAAAGCCGCCTTCAAGTTCTGCCTGATGCCAGACAGTCCAGTTTCTCCTGTATGAGTCTGGATCCCCAGAGACTCACCCGGAACTGGAGTCAGGGCTGTTGGGAGCTTGTGTCTCCCTCCTGATTGAAAAAGACAGCCACGTCCTCAGTTGCCAGCCCTTTCCACGTGCGCCTCCGTACCTCTGCACTTTACTTCCACACCGCACCTCCTCTGAGTCTCAGTATGCTTTTCTCTTTCCTTCTAGTTGTAGAATTTCCACTCGGCCAGCCTTCCTGTGGTTCTGGATGACGTCTGTTTTGTCTTTTAGTTGTATTTTTGAAGTGGTTGTGCGAGGCAGCAATTTCCGGTGTTTACCTATGCCGCCATCTTGGTTTCTCCTTAATGTATTTAGATTTTTCCTAATAAAGTTTACAATTTTCTTACAGTGTATTGTTACAATTGCTCTATTTTATTATTAGTTAACTAGAGGCCCGGTGCATGAAATTCATGCATGGGTAGGGTCCCTAGGCCTGGCCGGTGATCAGGGCTGATCTGTGGGGCAACCGGCGGGGCGATCAGGGGGCCCCTGCTGGCACCCACCTTGGCTGGCCTGGGGCCTGTGGGCTGGGGGCAGCTCCTGCATTGAGCGTCTGCCCCCAGGTGGTCAGTGCACGTCATAGCAACTGGTCGTTCCACCAGTCGTTCCATAGTTCGGTCGATTTGCATATTAGGCTTTTATTATGTGGGATGTTGTCAACTGCTACTGTGCCTAATTTATAAATTAAACTTTATCATAGGGCGTATAGGAGGCTGTGTTTCAGGCATCCACTGGAGGTCTTGGAGTGTGTCCCCCACAGATAAGGGGGGACGATTGTACTTAACACTTCCACTGAGACTGTGCCCAGTGCCAGACACAGAACTTACACAAAGTAGAGCATAAACAGTGAGAGTATTTGCTGGAGGAAAAGGTCTTTGCATCCCAAGTACAACAGGCTCTTCTTGAGTGTCAGACAGGACGGGAAGCACAGGCTGTAGAAGGTGGAAGCTAAACAGAGCCTGTACCTGAGACACTCGACACAGGTGCACAGGGAGGTGGTGTAAGAGTGAATGCATCGCGGCGACTTCACCAGAGGGCATCTCATCTTCGTTTTAGCTATCTTTTTAGAACATTGACAAGACAGAGTTACTTGCACATAAGAATGAGCTGTTTTTGTGTTGTTTTGTCCTTTTCCAGGGGCAGTTCTGCGACTACTGCAACTCCCAGGACCCCAGGAAAGCCCATCCAGTCACCAACGCCATCGACGGGTCGGAGCGCTGGTGGCAAAGCCCCCCCCTCTCCTCAGGCACGCGGTACAACCAGGTCAATGTCACCTTGGATCTGGGGCAGGTGAGACCCACCAGCTGGGATGGGACTTTGAGTTAGAAAGACAATGCAGCTCATGGGGCAGTTTTGTTCCTTTTGGGGAAAGGAAGCGCTCTATGCAGAGGACAAAAGGAGCACTGGGTTCTAGCGGGATTGGAGCTTCCAGATGCCCTCTGCCCCCCACCCTCCCCAAAAGCTCTGACCCTTGTTCTGGAATGAGGGCAGCCTGCTAGAGATCTTTAAAGGCAGCAGAATCATAAAAATGCACAGTAAATGGAAGTTTATTTTTTTAAAGAGCCTATTTTATTCCTTAGCTCATCTTGAAAACTATTTTATGTTTCCTCCCTTATGAAACTTTTGTGATTTTAGGCAGATTTTGGCTTTTAAGTCGTGGCAGTTCTCCTACCAGTGGTCGGCAAACTATGGCTCGGCAAACCGTGGCTCGTGAGCCACATGCGGCTCTTTGGCCCCTTGAGTGGCTCTTCCACAAAATACCGACGTCTGCGCATGGGCCACGAAGTTTCAATCGCACTGTACGTGCACGCCCGCACGTGGTATTTTGTGGAAGAGCCACACTCAAGGGGCCAAAGAGCCACATGTGGCTCGCGAGCTGCGGTTTGCCGGCCATGGTCCTAGTCTATTAATGGCAAGCACATATAAGGAAAGACTGGATTTCTTCACAATGGCACCAAGGGGGTCTGAGTTAAATATCATGGTGGGGAGTCCTCACCCGCACCCCTCCTCTGTCTGCTGTATTCCAGTGCAACCCCCCCCCGCATCCCCTCCTCTGCCCGCTGTACCCCAGGGCGTCCCCCCCATACCCCATCCTCTGCCTGCTGTACCCCAGGGCATCCCCCCCGCACCCCCTTCTCTGCCTACTGTACCCCAGGGCTTCCCCTGGGCCCTCAGGCCTCCGCCCCTCCCACACCCAGCTACCCTGTAGTCCCTCCACATCATCCACCTCCTCCTTTCTTCCTTTCTCCAGATGCCTCCTCTCCCAGTTCTCATTTCCATGATTCTCTCCGCCTTTGCCTGTCACCTCCTCCTTCCCCTGCATTCCTTCCTTTAGGGAAAACTGAAACCAAATCAAACCACCACTTCTCTGGTCACTGCCTGCCTCCTGGAGGGGTGTCCCTC